TCTTGTTATTACTTCTCTCTTCTTCATGGATCAATTAAAGTGTTTCTTTCTAGTTTCCAATATACAATTCTTGAAGCAGTGCACACATTGGGTATCATACATTCCCTTGAGAATTGGTCTGAATCTTGGAAATCAAATAGCAGGCCCCAGGGACAGAAGGTTGAAAGGCAGGTGTAGAATATATCTTTCCTAAAAAAAAACCCCAAAACCTTAAAAACATTCTTTTCAGGCTGTGACACAAGCCACTAGCTTATGAAATAGGTATTTTCAAAAAATCAGTGGGCTGAACTTGGACTCAGAAACCAAAATTTCACTTACAAGGATTGTCACCTGAAAGCAGCTCAGGAAGAGCAACACTAAGGACTTCTTCCACACAGGTCACCTTCAACCTGTGTAAGCCTCTTGAGTGCCAAAACTCAAGATAAATCTTTCTTAAAGTGAATTGCACATCCAAGTTGGATAAAGAGAAAATAATTCCCATATGTAAGTCAGTATTACTAAACCAGAAGTCTCACAGAAAATCCCATAAAAACTCATCCCAAATTCCCACCAAATCCCAGAGAATTGTATCAGACATTTTGGCACTGAAACGATTTCAAAATTCTAAAACCTCATCCATCTATTTTGGTACTTCTCTAATATCGTGGTTGAGGAAACAGCAGAAGATATTTTTCTAGAAAATCTTCTGTGGCTGCCAAGGTTCAAAGGACTGGTGGTGACCCAGCCTCTTACGCTTTTGAAGTGCCCCAGCCTTTGTGCCACAATTTTAAGTTCCTTAGCACAGACTCTATAACCTAAAATCTAAAAGATTTTCCCTCACCTCACTGTAAAACCTCAAAAAAGCAGCAAAGCTGGTTTTGAACTACTCAGAAGGCAGACCCTTGAGATGAGGCTAAAACTTGCATCAAAGAGAATTTTCAAGCAGCCTCAAAAGCACATGCAGAGAGTGGTTTATATCATCTTCCCCAGAGATCTTTTAGCTTAAACAGGCTGACTAGGGTCTGACTTTGATTTGGCCAAGGCCAGACAGACATTAAACACAACTTTCAAGAATTAATGCTTATGAAATTCACTACTGGAATATATGGAATTCTCCAAGGCCTCAAGATATTCTAAAGTGTGGTTGGATTTCATACCAGCTTCCATGCAGGCACAACTAATTTTATTATGCAGACCTGATAACAAGTTTGTAACGGGACTAATATAATCTTGACAGAACAATATTGCCAAAGTACACTTAAAAATCCTAGACATACGTTTAAAATGCTACCATATCCAGGCTGCACTACACTCCTGTAGTGTAGATTGAAATTTAAGTGAGGACATGTCCTGGATTGTAAGGACCAGGGCATGTTCTGACTCTGGCAGTGGCTTGTTTTCCTTTTTGTACCAGTACATTTGTATTTTTTAGTTTCCCTAGAAACAAACTATTCCCATATCTTTGCCTGAGAGTCTTTTAATTTCAAAATCATAATAATTCGAAGGCAGGGGGTTTACATTTTCCATTTCAGGGGAGGCTCCTGCCTTTCTTAGCAGACACCTGGTTTTTCAAACCAAGACAGGAAAAAACTCGTCCTTAGCCATGCATTCATTAAGTGACAGTTGCCTCATAGAATGGCTTGGGATGGAAGGGACATTAAAGATCATCTTGTTCCAGCTGCCTGCTGTGGCTGAGGCAGAATCCCCTCCTCTGACCTGCTGGTCACATTTCTCTTGATGCACCCCAGGATGGCTTTCTGAGCTGCAGGCACACTCTGCTGGCCCGTGTCCAGCTTGTCACCCACCAACACCCTCATGTCCTTCTCCTCAGGGCTGCTCTCAGCCCATTCTCCACCCAGCTTGCAGACATGAGTGGGATTGTGTTTAAAAACTGTTGTCTTAACCCCTTCAAACACCTGCTGGAAGTTAATGTTACAGCTGGACTCTCTGCTGGAGTACTTCTGTAACAGGATTGCCCTGACCCAGGTGCAGCACTTTGCACTTGGCCTTGTTGAACTTCAGGAGGTTTGCAGAGGCCCACCTCTGCAGCCTGTCCAGGTTCCTCTGCATGTCATCCCTCCCCTCCACCATGTCAACTGCACCACACAGCTTTTCCTTTCTTTCCTTAAACCAGCTTCTTAAATGAAAGTCAAAGAACTAAGAATAAAATGCGTGCAGAACAGAAAATCTGTGGACATTTCACCTATCCTGTCAAGGGTAGACAAAGCTTGACCACACTGCCACAAAAAAACTACTCAGTGAATCAGATGGTTCCATCTCAGTGAAACTCAGCTGATTATAGGCTTGAATAAACTCTGTAATAACAGAGTTGTATGACAAGCTCAGGGTAGGCCAGGCAGAGACTACCTTGACCTTCACTAACCAGAATCCAATAGGCAATTATCCATCCTATTCTGCTCATCCTATGCAATCACTTAGGGAAGAGATGGGACAATGACTGATGTGATATCTCTTACAACATTTGACCATCAAACTCCAGGAGAACACCTACAGAAGAGGGAGGAAAATGCCTCTAAATTGAGACTAAGACAATGTGTTTAAAATAGCATTATACCACCAAAAGAAAAATCATAGGTCTAAAGCCTTCTACTGGCTCTAAGATAAGTGAAATGCCTGACAGACAAATGAGAGTTGAAAAGATTGCCTGATGTGCAGCAGGCTGAGAAGGGAAAAATCGAAACTGCTGTTTAACAGAAGTCAGACTGATTCCTGGGTGCTCCTGTGAAAGAGATCAGACCACTTCATCACCATATTTTCTCCCCTTCCCTTCTATGTGCCAGCTACAAATTGCACTCAGAAAAAATACTTGGCGTGAGAAAAGCTTTTAAAAAGCAGTAATTTCAATTCCATATTAGAAGGCTATTTTTTTTGTGTTTTACAATATGAAATTCCATACATTAGAGTATAATGAACCCCAAGGTAACTAATGACTGTGGAAGGCATCCTTTCTTGGACTTGACTTTGGTTCACATGGATGCTCATGAGCTGCACAGAGCTTCAGGAGGATCCATAGATAAAATTTTTTCTACCTTACTTCAGGTAAAGAGAAGAGCACCAAAAGGTAAAAGGTACCACCAGTGCTTTCCCTGCTTTCCCAGGAGAGAGGATCCAGGCTGTTGCTGCTGGAACTCTGCACTCTGGGTTTCCCCAGGGCACCTACTGCACAGCAGGAAGCATTCTGAGTTGTTCATGTGTGTATCCATACAGCCCTTGCCATTTTCCTTGGTTTGTAAGAAACTGCTTGGAGCAACCTTTACATCCACTAAGACAACAGAGGCATTAATTTGCAACTCTTATTCTTATCCACAACCCTTGAAAGAGAGTGGGAAATTCAATTTGTGTTGCATATTTCTGTCTAAACCTGAAAAATCTGTAGATTACATCCACTCAAGTACCACCAGGTATTATGGGAACAAATCACATGGAACTCCATTTTCTTTATGGTGGAAAAAGGCCATTCTTTATTCACATAACTCCTTTTTAGACAGTGTTACAGGCCTCTTGTGGGACTCCACTTGGTCAGTAGTTTTCTTGCCAATTAATTTATTGGTCATTAACAAGTTGTTATTCTACATTGATTGGTCACACAAACTCTTGGTATCTTGGTACAGGGAAATTGTTTGTGAAAGATAGTTTTCATTTTTCTATCTAATGGTGCAAAAACAATTTATACAGGTGCAAGTTGGTTTTTTTACTTAGGAATAGATTGTTAATATTAATGAACTGCTCACACCAGGATTACTTTCACATGGGAACTTGCAAAATTCTGGCTTTGACAAGGCCAGCCACTGATTCCAGGAGAGCAGATTTGATTTTGTGAAGCCTTTCTCTATGATTTTTCTACCTTACTGCAACAACCAGGAATGCTGCTTCCATATCAAGGTACAGTTTTAGGTTGCCACAGTGCAAAGCCTGATACTGGGGGAGCCACTCTCTAGCCAGAAGCAGTACCTGTAGCAATACTGTCAGTGTTTGTCCTAAGTTTTCAAGAGATTTTACCAAGTAATTTCCTGTCAATAAGCCTGACATAAAAAAACCCCAAAAAACAACTCTGCCAAGCAATTAATCCAGGTCTTGGATGGCCAGGTTTAAGCATGTAGCCAGTACAGGAAATGGATCCTTTCTGCATTTTAACCAGCTGTCAGGAGTGGGGAGCATTCCAGGATGTGCTGTCCCAGACATTTGATTCAAACACCAACCACACTGCTGTTAATCTGTTGTGTCTGGTTCTTGCAAGCAGGCTGCACTTGGCTTCCTCAGATAAATATTTCAACTCCCAACCATATTGGAAATCCAGCCATTTTCTACGGCATAGCAGCACAAGCAAAATTGGCAATTACACTAATGTCCTGTTTATCATACAAACATAGCCCCTAAGATCTGCAGTTGAAAAGAACATTTTGTTTCCCATGTGAAGATGGTAAGCATATCATTAGACAATTTACTGCTATTGACAGATATTATATGTATTAATCTTCTGCTAAAAACACTGAAATACACACTGCAAAAATAAAGCAGAAATCCTGCCAGCTCTTGAAATAGGTGTTTCACCCACATGATTTAGACAATAATTCAGATCACAGTTGGAGAGTGAACACTAATTTGTGAATTTAAGCACAGATTTCCCTTGTCATTTTATTCAGCAAAATATTTTGTTATTGGAACATTAACAGAGGAAAGAAAAAAGAAATAAAAAAGAAACAATAATTTCAATAAAATCAGGACAGAGTGTGTAAAATGGGAATGCCTAAATGCAACACATATTGTCAGCTTCTTTCTGACATATTTTGAGGCTTCTTCCTCAATAGTTCTTTAATTAGAAGGGGATGACCTCATTAAAAGGGTAAACTGGGGAGATGTGACTTTTTTCTAGATATGTGAGCAGAGTAACTAAAACCTGCACACACTTTTTTTTAATAAAGTTTATGAGCTCTCCTATGTCATACATGGAATTTCAAAGAAGAAACCAAGCACACAATAAAACACAATCTGATACTTACTTAAGAGCATTGGCAAAGGATATCTTTGGTGTCTTCATAAACACTCAGCATCCAGTGAGATCACACAAATCTCTGTAGAAACACAGAAGCCAGAATCCAAAATATTTGCCTTCTGTAAAACCTGAAAGCAAAACCCTCTCTTGTTTTTCACCATAGGAAATGGCTTCTCAAGATGAAATCCTCACTCAAAAAGCAAGTAGCTGATGCAGATGAAGGCAGGTTTCAGTCAGTCAGTTCAATCTTACCATTGGGTTAGGCTGCTGAGAAGCCAGCAGCTTGTGGAGATCATGAAACTGCCAGATGTTCTATCCAAGAAAGTGTTTTATCCTTTACCATCTGTATTGTATTGGTGTCTAATGTGGGGAAAGAGGAAAGACAGTGTTAGAGGAGGAATAATAAGTTATTCAAAATTATATAAGACAGTCACACATGGAAATAGCAAATATCTCCTCTCCCCACAGGGAAAAATTGGTTGGTTCTTTTCCCTCTTTTAAAATACTAACCTTTAACTAACACATAACATAGCTGTACCTTTCACAGATTTCTCTTTTGAGGATATCAATTACTACACATAACCTTCCCTAGGGTAAAAAAAAGATAATTTAACTTGCAATAAAAAATCTTATAAGAGCAAATGAATAAGTTATTCTTTCTCATTCCACGGAGAGAACTGAGAGGTCTTGCACGGCAGCGATGAGAAATTTGAACTTTGACTTAAAATTCCTCTTTCTTTTGGCTCATCTGGTTCAAGTTACTTGCCCTCTTTTACTCTGATTCCTTATTTTTTTTTTGTAAATTTAGGCAGAAGTAGATTCATCTGCACAACTACCAGAAAATATTTTTGAATTTCTACACACTCTTTATGAGAAAACCATTACATCTGCTGTCTAGACTTTTCATGTAAGTGTTAATAGCATCAGGTGATGGTTGTATAAACAGCTTCTGGGCCCACATATCCATTCTCTCAAGGTTTGAGTGAATGCTAAAGTGAGTTTATAATCTGCACAGCAAGATTCAATCCTTTCTACATTGTCCTCAGCTTCATACAGAACCAAACAAAAAAAATCCAAGCAAAAAACTGCTCGAACTAAAAAACTTACAAAGGTTAAGAGTCCTCTTCTCACTTTCATAATTTAAGCCTAGAAGAAGCACAATTTTTCATAGTGGAAGAAACCACACATGTGTTACTGCATTAGGTTCATCTTCCAGCACTTTGAAAATGCCTTGAAAACTCTATGCCTGTGAAAAATGTTGACTGGTAAATATACATCTTTAGGCAATGCAGACACCAGTAAGGAGAGCAGGCTCCCATCACAGCAGCCTCCTGGGAATGTGATGATACAGAGAACAGAACAGAATTCACAAATCAAATTTAATTGCTTCTCATGTTTATGGCCCTAGGCACCAAGATAGAACTGAAAGCAATTGTGCTCCTCTTAGCAAGTTGTTTGACTTTGGAGGACTTGAGAAAGCCTCAAATTCTAATGCACAAGGATAAGGAACAAACATTAGCTTTAGAAAGTCATGTTGCATTCCAAAAGCAGCATGCACTGACCTAAGCCTTCAAGATGGTAACATATATCTGAACATAAATCGATATCAATCCAATTTACATCAAAGTTATGATGAACCCTCTCAATATAGCCAGGTAAGCAAGGATCCTTTCAAGAACAAGGGAAGCCATACACCTACTTGAGCACAATTTGCTAACAAGCATTGCAAATGCAAAACATTAAAGGTGAACAAAGAACAAGCTTGGAGGAAAAAGATGCCAATAAATTCTATCCATCAGTCTGGAGGTACTGGATTATCTGGAATAGAGAACAGTTGTGTTCTACATAGCAATTCCTTAAAATCAACATGGAATAGACTCATACCTGGATATGGCTCAGAGTCATAATTTCAAATAGCAGAGGCTAAATGAGACTGTGAAACTTGAGTCAATACAGTTTTCTTCCATTAAAATCACAGCAGATTCAGATTTCTATGGAAATGTGCTAATTGACACAGCATGAAGACCTGCAACTTCAAACACCACTGAGTAAAAAAACATACTTCACAATTTTGGTTTGCCTTTTTTCTTACTTCCAAATGCACCTCTCACAAAGCAAGCTTTGGTCACCACACTGTAGCCAAGGGAACAGGAACTCCCACTGATGAAATACTGCTGGAGAAACATGACCAGAATGGGGAAAGGGGATTTGAAAGCAAGATGTGGAGAAAGCAGAAGCAATTTCAAGTGTAACAGCAGCAGAGTGCTGTCCTAGCATAACCTCAGTGGCACAGCTGAATCACCTGTAGCACCAAGCCTGGGCAGAGCTCATGTCACTGCCCATGGAATGTGGATCTTCCCCAGCCAAAGGAGATGGGTATCCTGGTTTTACTATGCTGGGAGGGGAAAAGAGATGGGGAAAGGGATGGGAAAAGGGATGCTGCCTACCCATCTGTAGCACTAAGAATGAACACAAGGACACAATGCCTTTCTCATTCAATTGCTTGGCTCTGGCAGGTAAAATTACGTCCACAGCAGTACCCCCCATAACCGAATTCTCCTATTTCAGCCTGATCTAGCAGCCTAATATTCAGAAATCTGTTGGTGGAATACTTCCTTGAGGGTGGCTGAGGCATTAGCATGGAGCTCTCCCCATAATCCGTGGCATTCAAAGTATTAGAAGATAATGTGGCATATATTCTTCCCATCCATTACTGGGTAGAAAAAGTGTACAGATGCATAGTTAGGAGCCTCCAGCTAGTAGGAATGTGGATCTCAGGATGAAGAGGTGGATCACAGGTTTTCAAAGAAGTAAAAATTTTTCACACCAGCAGTCTATAATTATCTTTCTAACTTAATACAAATCTCACCCATCCGTGCTTTTCCCCTCTTAGATAAGTTCAAATTTAAAAAAAAAGTCTTTGTAATTGTGTGATTCTTATATAGAAATATTTATGTCCTTCATTAATAGGAAGATATTAGGGCACACTAGGAAGTGGTTATTTTTAAGAAACATGAAGACAAAACTACACATTTAGGACCCACTTAATTAGTGTTTTGAAGGAGTTTTACAAAGCAGGGCACCTTCAATATTTGATATAAAAATCAGGGAATCCCACCTATTATATGCCATACTAGAAATACAGTCTATTAAAAGTACAAGAGCAATGGTTTGATCCTGCTTGAGATGAAGTAACTTTGCAACTGGCACAACAGCCAATCATGACAGAAGATCTCACACAGCAAACATTGTTCAGAGACGTCCTCAAATGCCTTTTCCCTGGGTTAAAACATTGTGCTTCCCCAGTCAAACAGGATTAATAAAATAAAGAGCACATGACATACCTGTAACACAGCCCAGTGCTCAGAGCTTCTTGTGAAGACAAGCCCAGCTGGAGGAGATAGCTCTAAACACTCTCCCAAAATACAAAGATCACCACACCTGCCAAGAGAGCACTTGTCTTTACTGAGTGATGCTGCCAAGTGAATGCACAACCCCAGCCATTGTGCACAGCTGTGAACATCCCCATGACTAAGAGCAGAAAGAGACCCCATCAAAGGCACACTGTCAGAAAACCTGCCAGCCTTCAGGCCAGCTTTTGAGCACTGATGCCACCATTCAGTGGCAGAGGACAGTGGGTGCTGTCTAAAAATTATGCTAAAGATAAGATATGTAATGATGCACTTCAACTAAATATGATGAAAGCAGAGCACTTCAAGCCTTATCCCCAGTTCAGAATCTGGAGTTCCAGTCTGAAGTAGGTATGGAACAATAAAAACTTTTCACAATAGTTGCAGCTGGCCCCAAGTCAAGCAAGCTCTACAGGATTTCTGTTAAAGAGATGATAATTGAATTTGTTTGACATTTGGAGCAAACTCTTGTCAGAACTCAGGCACCATGCAAACTTTCCCCTCTTCCCCAGCCAAGGTTTTCATTGCTTCTGTTCTCAAGTTTAGACTTTCACCCATCTGTATCCGCTCCAGTGAGTGTCCCATTAAACAATCCTGGAGCTGAAAAGGACATTTTACTAAAAATCTGAGTTCTCAGATCTCAAGATAAGGCTGCACTGCACAGTGCTGCTCATGATGGTTGAAAGCAGGGCCTAAAAGCCCAGCTGTGTGCAACAGCAGGGACAGCCAAGGAACAGGAGACCTGGAATCCTGAGTGCATTTAGGGCCTGCCTAATCTAATATTCCATGAATGGTCAGGACCAGGCACCTCGTAGGATCTGCTTCACAAACATAACTCTAAACATGGGTTGCATCTGTCAAATAATGTGACGTTAGAAAATTATACTCTAGTCAGGCAAGTCTGTACTTCATTAATTACCAATAGTAATTACTTAGCAAGAATGGAATTCTTTCCCCTCTAACATATGGTTTTAGATAAGGGAATTACTACTTCCACAGTCATTGGAAAAGTAGACTTCATTATCTGGAGTACAGAATTGGAGGGCTTACTTTAATGTAAGCCATATGCTGGGATGCCAAGTCATCACATGGATACTGTGTTTGGGAAATTCTTGTCACAGTTACCCTACATTTACCCTCTAGTGAGGGTAAACTATTTAACTTCTCATTTATGTTGGCTTTGTTTCCCATTTTGTAAGCACACTTAAAACTTTCTAACATTTACGTACATGTCTTACTTGAAACAAACTCCCGATGCTTCCAAAAAAACCCAGTACTTAAAAGAAAATTAAAAAGCACTTCCATTTACCACAGAATACTTAGGTTCACTTGCAGCATCTGTTTTTTAAACAGAGTTCCTGATTTCTAACTGAGTTTGCCAGCTGGGCTAAATCAAGTCACAGGAGTCAGCTACCCCCTCGTTTTCAGAGGACATCTCAAGTGACCCTGCATGTCAAAAATTAAGAGTGTGTGTAAGTTAAAAGGAAAAATTATTCAAGTAACAAATGCCACATGGTGTAAGCATTTCATTTCCAGACTTACAACCAGATAGTGTTCCCAGGCCACTACAGCAAGGAAGCTGCAAAGCACCAAGAGCCCCACAGGGAGCTCAAATTGCCAAGGGAATGCCAGGGACCATATGCTCCAGCAGCATCCTGCCTTGCAGGGCCTTCAGGTGTTCTCTGTCTGACACCAGGAGCAGGGATATTGCTCAAAGTTCCCTCAAGGAGCACTGACAGCACAGAGGTTCCTGCTTTGCTCCCCACTCTGCTGTTCAGTCCCCTGCATGGAGCTCCTTTCACCACATGGATGCAGTGGCACCCCTCATCTCACACAGGGGTCAATGTGTCTTTATTTCAAACTCTGGTGGAAAACTCAGAGTCCTTTTAGTGCTTAAGCAAACAGTGGCAAGGCTGGAGGTCATGAATGTGTCCATTTCCCCAGATAAAA